TCCGCTGCTCGGTGCGCGGGCTGCTGCCCGGCCTGTGCCTCCAGGTAAGCCTGGCCCTCGGCCTGCCGCCGCCGCCCGCGCGGCTCACCCGCGCCTACGCCGGCGCGCTCCGCTTCTTCGGCCGCCTGCTCCTCGCCGTCTCCCGCCGCGGCTCGCAGGCGCTGGTGCTGCTCCTCGACTCCGTGGACCAGCTGCTCCCGGTGCCCGCCGCCTCCACTGGCTGCCCAAGGCCTGCCCCCCAAACGTGCACGTCGTGCTCTCCGTCTCCGCAGCGGAGCACGGCCTCCTGCAGACCCTGCGCGAGGCTGTGCCCGAGGCCGAGGCGTACTTTGAGATGGGGCCGTTGTCCAGCGAGGAAGGCAGGGAGATGCTGGAGGGGCTGCTGGCATCAGCCGGACGGAAGCTGAGCCCAGCTCAGCGGGCTGTTCTCCAGCACAGCCTCCCAGCCCGCGGGGACCCCTTGCTGTTTCAGCTGGCTTTCCAGCAGGTCTGGAGCTGGGCCTCCTACACCCCGCCCTCAGCACTGGTGATCAGTCACAGGGTCCAGGACGCCCTGCACCAGCTGTGTGACACACTGGAAAAGCTCCATGGCTCGGTCCTGGTGTCGCACGCTCTTGGCTATATTGCCTTCTCCCAGTGAGTACCACTGCTGGCCCTCTGGAAGCGTCTTGCAGTCTTGGGGGAAATCTGTCTAAGTTCATCTGCAGATAATGCAGCAGCTCAGCACTTCTTCCAGCCTGCAGAAACCTTTAATACAAACTCTTCTCTCGCCCACCAGCCTGTGTCAGTCCTGGCCCCACGGGGGACAGTGTCCCAGGGGCTGTGTGTCAGATCATTAATCTCCCATGCTCATCCAGTCCTTGTCAATCTCAGAGCCAGTGGGTGCCCTGGTTGTGGGTGTTTCACACCCAGGCTGTATGTGCCTGTGACCAGCAGCTAGATGAGGTTCCCATAGATGCTTGTTTAGGGGTAGCACTGGACTGCAAGCCAGAGTGTGTGTGAGATGGGACCCTCTCACTCCCACTTAGTGCCACTGCGTGCAGCAGGGAGGAAGAGAATAACCTCCCCCTCTTCCTACACCCATCCTGCAGGAACGGGCTGGCAGAGGCAGAGCTGAAGGATGTCTTATCCCTTGATGATGAGGTTCTGTCTGAGATTTACCAGCACTCCTCTCCTCCAAGTAAATCCATCTTGCGTTTGCCCCCTCTGCTGTGGGCACAACTTTGCCATGATGTTCAAGACTGCTTAGTGGAGATGCAAGCAGATGGCTTCACCCTTCTTGGCCTTGCTCACAGGTACGCGGGGATGTGCTGAGGCACAAAGTCCTGTGTCTGGGATGTCCCAAGTCTGAGCTGTGCAGAGAGCCCATCTTAGGCTCTTTGTCCCCGCTCTGCTCTTCATCCTCATCAGCACCGACTCATAAGAATGCTGTGCCCTGGCGTCTCATTTCAGTGCCTTCCCTGTTTCTTTCCCTCTTCAGGCAGTTTGCTGAGGTTGTGCAGAATCGTTACCTGTCCGCGCAAAACCAAACCAAACGGCATTTGCTCCTGGCAGATTTCTTCAGGGGGACTTGGAGCTGGGGGATGAAAAAACCCTTTCTTTTGCCACTCTGTGGCACAACTCTCAATGCTGACAGGAAGGTGAGGCGTGTCAGCAAGCCTTCTCTGTAACCCTGAGCTCCATCACTGATAATCCTACCTCTGACAACAATCTTGTTTCAGGTCACCTGCTTGCTCGGCAATATTCCGATAGCTACCATCTCCCACAGGCTGTCGCCTGAAGGGCTGGCCATTGCATCATTAGACGGCACCCAGATACTGCGATACTAGTGTCATTAGAAAAATCAATCTACAGACTCTCTCCCCCGTGTTCTCCCCAGTAATCTCCTCCTTTCTTTCCCAGGTAGCACCTCAGCTGCTCTGGTTCTCTGATACTATTGCAAATCAGAGGAAACTGAGTGAATTCCCTTTTCACTTACTCGGTGCTGGGCGAATTGAGGAGCTAAAGCGGGACATACTGGGTAAGGGCTAGGGGGTGCAATGCTCAACAGGGAACATTTTCACACCTGCAGTTGCACACAAGGGAAGCACAGAATCGCAGCACTTCTGCATGGAAAGCGCTGGAAGCTGCCAATAGCATCAACAGGGAAACTAGGAAGGACATACGTGAAAGGGAGAGAGTTAATTCTCCCAGTCCCCCATTATGCTTTCCGCTGTCACTGAAAGAATCAAACCTGTTTCCAACTCCTCCCAAGGCTTAGAAGCAAATTTTTAAAAGTAGCAGAGGGGAAAAAAAACACACACACTCTGAGAGAGACCCAAAAAGGAACCATGCGAGTGACAGTCCTCAGCTTCCCTGGAGCAGGCCTTGATTTTCCACTTCCCCACAACCCCATTGGGCCCCTGATCCCTCCCAAGTGCAGCCCACCCACCTCCTATAGTTGTCCACTCCCCAAGCCCTCAAGTAGCTTTGCTCCCTCTTTTGCCTGATCTTTTCTCTAATAGTCAGCACTCCTTCCTGCAGGGAATATGAACTGGATCATCTGTAAAATCACTGCTGCTGGAATAGAGAGCATTGTGGATGACTTTGCCATGTGCATTACTCATACTAACTGCCCAGAATTAAGTCTTGTGCAAGATGTACTCCTCCTCCTGAAACCAACCATTGATGATATGGATGGCGTTGTAGGTAAGAGCTTGACTTTTGTCACACTTGCAAGTGGGCAGATCTTTTCCAAGGAAAGGGTTGTCCCTCTGCCTCCCTAGAAGAAACTTCTTTCTGGGTCATTTCAATTCATGGTCTCCCCCATGCGGACAGCTGGCACAAGACTCATACAGTGCTTGGGTCTGGCAGAGCTACTGCACGGGCATGAAAAGTCATCAGATTTCACCACAGGTCCAAGGGAATCTTCCCAGTGGTTTTCCAGCTCTGTGCAGTAGTAAGACTAATTAATGAGAAGGATTCACAATTTCCTCCCAAAATGCAGATAGATGCTCCAACAGCCAGTTAATTCTATCTGCGCTTTTATGCTATGTGATTTACTGCTGTATCCAAGTGTCTTGTGGTGGAAACACAATTCTGAGACATTCACTTCCGTTTGTTACATGTTCTTAGTGTATGAACTGCAGTGCATACAGGATGTTGCTAGTGGCCTCTCCCAGGTGTACCATGGCCACGAACTGGGAGCCTTTGAAATCTCCTTTTGTTTTTCCACCTTGCAGAAGTGAGTACTATATATACAGAAGTGCTGGGCAGGCTTAATTTTTTCATCTCGTCTTATCCGGATCTCATTGGGAGGTTGTGCCAGCAGTGTTTACACTGGTTTGAAGTCTGTCCACATCCTGTTCTCATCCCACTGTGTGGATTCCTCCAGCCTCCTGGTGGGCCCCTGCAGAAGACTCTCACTGGGTTTCTCAAAGGTAAGGGTTTGAGGTAGGGGTACAGTGAGGACCTTCACTCAGAGAATTGAGATCGCCACAGAAATTGACAGGCACAAACCATCTTAATGAATCTAAAAATACAGGCGCTAAAAACTAGTTAGCACTGGTGTCAGCACTTTCTGGTCTGTGCATCTCTTGTCACCTACCAGCTGCGCCACTTGTTGTTTGCTGCCTGGGAGATGATGTGTGATTTCTTGGTGTCTCCTGGTCAGTTTCAGACACTTAAGTAACTGTATCTGTCACTGACATTGATCCATCAGCACAGCACAGCACAGCACATATAATCACAAATCTCAGCAAACAGAAGGGAAGCCTGAAGAGGACTACAAGAAAATGACTGCTAATGCTCACGCTAGCCCAAGAAATGAAAGCCTACATTTGGTTTTCTGGTTTTTTATCTCTTTCTCTGTGTGAAGTGGTGGCATAAGTGTTGTAAACAGTGGATACTGTGCTCTGTTTGATAGGCAGAAGTAGGTGCAGCAGTAGCATCCAGTTTGCAAAATATCTGTATGTATGTAACACAAGACTTATTAATATGTGGTTCCCTTCTTTCCTGGCATTAGCCACCTGTAGCAGTGCTTCAGTAGATTAGACATAAAGTTGGCCAGGCTGTCCCAACATGTATACAGAATGGGACAAGATAGCTCCTAAACTCCCGGCTTCACAAAGAAAAAGGTCTATTTGCTGATTATATCATTTATAATGAACTTTGCACCAGATTCATGTGGAATTGCTGAAGGGCCAAGTCTCTTTCCCATGCAATAAAAGTGGGAACACTGGTGTAGATACATCTGAAGGAATCTAATTTAGCCTGGTTGGCTCCACCGTATCATTACCCAAGTGACCTTGGCAAGGGACCTGATGCTGTCACAGATGGGAAGAATTCCACCGCAGCAGTTTTCTAGGGGTCTCCTTGTGGCCTGCAGCCACTTCTTTCATCTGTGTTTCACTGCAGGTATCACAGTACTGGAGCTCAGTTCTGAGCACAAGCTAATGGTAGCAGGGTCCCAAGACGGTTCAATGCTTGTGTGCAACATGGAGAATATTGAGGTGATGCAAGCCCTGACTGGTCACACTGGTAAGCCTTTCAAGAGATAGGAATGGTTCCTGGACTTCTGCTTCATTACACTTCAGGCAGAGCTGTACAACAGCAATACCCACACCTCTGTATTAGCATTTTTTCCTAAGATTAAGGTGCTGTCAGTTGCATTCTAGGGCCAAGTTCTTCTCTACAAAACACAAATTCCCCTAATAGTGATCAAGGAAATTGCCCCAAATGAAAAATCATCCTAGGATGCAGCAACTGAAAACCTCTAAATGCCTTAAAACTGACCCTCTCTAATGTTATCATGCAATTCACTCTCCTTAGAACATTTTTCTCATGGGCTTACCAGGGCCCCAACTGCATTGGATTGCTCCTATGCTATAAGATCAGCAAGTACACCACAGCTAATGGTAAATCCAGGCATTTTTTCCAATTGTGGGAAGTGTTTATTTGTATGGAATAGAATACAGCAAACACATGACAAAACAAGCTATAAACAACCTGTTGTTTTACATTTGATATCCAGTGGAAGGCCTTAAGCGCAACCATTAAATGATCAATAGGACATTCCTCTCTGATGTGTGCTATAGTTTGGATTTTGTCACACGTGCACTTGGGATCTTTAATAAAATTCCATATATGTAGTAAGCGGTTGCATCTAACTTGTCCAGTATGAACCCTGTTTAACACTGTCCCGCTCTGCCAGGAGGCTTGGATGTGGGGTCCGTGATAAGAAATGTATTAGTGATGTCAACTGTGCTTCATTGCTGGATCCATTTTTCCTTGATTTTAAAGTTTTTGTCATTTAGCTCTCTTCCTACGTGCCAAAATGGCCTTCTCAACTTAAGCCTTGGCCTAGGGGGGTCATTAAATTCCTGAGAAATTGGTAGTGAATTGAATGTAAGCAGCTTTTTGTACACTGTTTATGTTGGAGATCAGGAGGAGGGGTACGAGAGAAGACAAACAGCCACAGAACAGGAGTGTATCTGCAAGTACCTGCTGTGCATCGCATTGTTTCATTCAGCTGAGAGTCAATCAAGCTGGCATGGGTGCTCCTGCCCCAGACTGGGGAACAATACTCAGCCACTGAACAAACAAAGGCCAGCACTGACATTCTAAAAACTTCAGCATCGCTTCCCCTTCCAGTTTTGAGATGATGTTATTACGTGTGGCAAGTTTGTTCCTATTTATTTGTAGATGATACCTAGAGGTGAGATGACAGTCAAGGTGGACTCCTAAATATTTGGGGTTGGGTTCATAGCTGACTAGTTTTCCACAAAAGCCAATTCTTAGATACGCGTTCACCTGTGCATCAATGAGGTGAAACAAGGAAAAAACTTTTGTCGGGGTTGGGCTTCAAATGTCATTCATTAAAATAGTCTTCTAACTTTACCACGTGGTTTCAATAATACTAGGGTCAGAGCCCTGTTTGAGGATAGCAATACCATCAGCATAAATAAGTTTTCTTGATTAAGTGTGGGGAATATCGTGTGTATACCAATTGAAGAGGATGGGTGTCAGAACAGAGCCCTGTGGTAAACTACTGTTGACAAATCAGCAGCCCCCGTTTTGCTAACACTCTTCTCTGCTATGTTGTAGCTGAGGTGAAGTGTGTGAAAGTGTTTGGAAAAGGGACTTCTGCTGTCTCAGCTGCCATGGATCACACTTTACGTATCTGGAATTTAGTTTCTGGCAGAGAAAAGTTTTCAATCGCGGACACTCACTTCAGCGCACCGCATCTGTGTCAGCTTTGCGTAGATGAAAGGAACATGGTCGTTTATTCAGCATCAGGTGAAAAGGTACAGAACTCGTACCCATTCCATAAGGTAAAGTGCACAGAGAGGATTACAGCCTACTATTGGTCTGAGTAGAAAACTGAAGAAGTTTGTTATAACATCAGGAAGGTTAAGGAGTAAAGTGGCGAGCTGGTCTTCCTCTCCTTGCTCTGTGTAGGATATTTCTTAGTACTCTACCTCATATAGGTAATAACATTTTTAAATGATGGGACTTGCTTCCCTTCCCTTCCTTTGACTAGTGCAGCAAATCTTATTTTCAGCAATCAATTTACCAAGGAACTAGAAAAGAACATTGGTTGCTTGGAGCCTTGATAGATGTAAGAGCCAAGTATACGTGCTTCCAAGAAATCTTTTGTATGATGCTCCAAGATATTCAGTGTGAAAGGCAGAAGCAAAGTCAGTATCTAACTTCTAGAGTGAACACGCAGTTAAATGTTGAAAAGGACATAGTGGGACTAGGCCATATGTCAATCCTTCTCCTTTTTTACTAGGTTAGTGGCTGGCATCTGGAAACAGCAGAACTTGTTTTCCAGATTTCTGGTGATGTCCAAGATGTGTGGCTGTGCACTGCTGTGTTTGTCCCAAGGCTGGTAATTCTGATAGTGTCTGAAGGAGGAATAGTGTGCCTGTGGGACAGAAGCACTGGAGCAATGCAGTCTAAACACCAGCTATCATGGCTACAGAAAGAAGCACCAACTTGCAGTGCTTTGATCCAGAAGCAAGGAAAAATGGTGGCAGGATTTAGCAGAGGGTCCCTGTCCATGGTATGTGGCTATCTGCTTAGCTGTGCTATAAAGTTTTAGGATTTAAATCTGTGGGTGGATCCTAGATTATCTCTTCTCAGTGTCACTTTGCTCTGTGCTGCTATCCATATCTTTGGTCTTTTATCATTGTGTAAATTACTTGATATATTTTCACAGTTCTGAGACTTCCGAGAATTTCCAAGGCAGCCAATCTAACATGACCTGTCACAAGGTCCTCTGTCTGTTGTGCTGCCTTTTCCTTATTGTCTGTCAACAGCAACACAATTATGAGGTGTCAGTGAACTAGGGTGCTGTGTCTGGCACTGTCACAAACTCACTGTGACGCTAAGCAAATCATTTTCCCTCTTGGTGCCTCAGTTCCTCCACATGTAATAGGAGAAGAGTATGTATCACTGAAATGTTATCTGTTCACAAAGCACATTCAGCTGCTCTGTGGATGGAAGTTGCCACACAGCAGCATATTGTTAGGAAAGGAGAAAGGCATGCAGAGGAGGGGAAACCTTGCAGTGAGACCTTCCTTGTAACTGTCCACTGACAGCAAGTGAAATGAATCCAGTCACAGTTCCAGGCACCGTTTCCAGTTGTGCTAAACTGGACATAGGCTAGGTCTCCAGAGCTCTTCATCCCCTCAGGATGAGCAGAGCAGGCTCCCTAGACCTTATTTTCTAAAACTAGAACAGTATTACTAGTCTATGCTAGTGTACATCTAGGAAGCATACAGCATCAACAGGCATACTGAACTCCACTCCTTTCAGTTACAATCAGGCAACATTTATCTTCCGCCTAAAGCTTAACAAACCTAATATAATTTTCTGATCATAGCTTCTTTTTGCACAGATTTCTTCTGATAGAACCAGCTTGCTGGAGAAGCTTCCTCAAGGCGTTCGCTTTGTGGTGACATCAGAAGATGAGTCTCTCCTTGCTGCAGGTTTAACTCCAGCCCCGATACTTAGGAAAAATATCACCCAGTTTATAAAAGATGACAGCACAAGTTATTCCACATCGCATACCAGATGTTGCTCAAACAGGGGCCAAAATGGAGGAGGTCTTCCTACTTTATTATTACAGTCTAATTAAGAGGCTCAAGGAGTAGAAAGGAATGGGTGAAATGTACCTTTTGCAAAGAACTCACGCATGGCCAATGTACCTACACCCTCTGTCATGAATACTGTATAGGATTTATGACTGGGTAAATTTAACTCCTAGATTTCTGAACTGTTTTCATTAAAACAACTTCAGCAACACACACTGACTGACTAATGCAGTATGTTAGGGATGCCAAGCACTTGGCTCAGTGGGTCTGGCTTGATCTATACCCTGAGAACTTGTATTTAAAAGTCTTGTAGTCCAAGTCTTTGTATCCCAAACCAGTACATTCAGTAACTACAGTCCGCTCTTATAGGCTTTGGGGAATACGTGAGAGTGTTCCTGGCTGATTCACGTGGATTCTGCAGGTTTCTAGCAACAGACTTGGAGCATGAAGGTGTGGTGCATACAGCTGTTATCTCTTCTGACAATAACATCATTGTTACGGGCTCTCAGGCTGCATATATCCAGGTGAGGGAACGAGGGCGACTTTCCTGAACTGCCTTCTCCAGACATAACTCACAAAATGTGTAAGATTCTAATCAAGTTCTGCACAGCCAAAAATCATCCCCAAATCAGGTTGTTAAAGTACTTCTGTCATTGCCTTATTTGAAGATCTCTTCTCCCTTCTTTCCTGGTTTTAGTCTTTTCTCTTCTTTTCTCCATTTCTGGCACTGAACCAAAAACAGTAGTACTTTGTAAATATATTGAATGCCAGGCTGAGGTGATCTGCTAGCCAGTATAACACATTTTTTCTTTAAACATTTAAGCTGTACTATGCACTAACCGAGGAAGCTAAAGCAGTCCTGATAGAACATACCCCACCTGTAGTGCCATGTCTTGCCAAAAGGGCTAATACCCAGGGATGTCTGCGGGATCATTCAGAACACAAATCAAACTGTGCTGGTGAATGTTGCTAATGCAGTGCTGCTTTTGGAAGCTGTCCCATTTCTCTTCATCCTGTGTTCTGTAAACTCAGTTTTTCTTTGTTTTCAGTTTTATGAGGACAGGTCTTGTGTACTGCAACGTGGGCTTTATTTCTCAGAGGTCTAGTCTATAAAGATCACAAATCAACCAATCTCCCGCAAAGGGATGGTGAGAAGAAAGGTAATTGCTTATTGATTGTGTCTCCTAATCCTCTTGATTGCATAGCTCTTCTTTCCTAATTCTTCCTAGGTGTGGAGTTTATCAGAACAGGGTTTGCTGAAGGATACCTTGGGTAACCTGGGAACACCAGCAACACTCTTAGCCCTGCATGGCTGCACACTGGTATCTGCGTCCCACAATGCCCCATGTGTCAGAGCATGGGACCTCTCTTATGATAATAAGCACAAAACTTTAGCACCTTTCCTAGGTTGCAGTGCAGTGTCTCAAGATGGGAACTATGTTTACTTCCCTCAGCCTGGAGAGAACCATAAAGTCATCATCTGGAACAGCATAGAAGGTGAACTGCAATCTAAAGCATCTCTGTAGAGAATTAGTGCTGGGCATGGTGGCAGGGAGAGGCAGGATTATGCAGGAAAGCAAATGAGTGATTCAAGATAACCAGAAAAGGTTGTTGGTCTCCCAACAGGGATGCAAAGCCAATCCCCTGAAAGTCTGGGTTAGGTGGAAAGGGCCTGCAGATTAGAAGTCCAGTTTCATCATACTTATTTGGCTTTATTTTTGTCCGTATCATTATGACAACATATTCATCTCTTATTTTGTCTCTCTCAGCTGCCCTTACTGTGAATTTATATGAAAAATCCACTCTCAGCTCTGTAGAAGAGAAGTTATCCATGCAGAACTAGCAAAGGAAAGGCCTCACCAATCATCTTTTCTCTTGTAGGTGCAGAGTGTGACACACTGGACACCTCCACCCAAGTGAGAAGCCTGGAGGTGGCCAAACAGAGAGAACTCCTTTTCACTGGGCTGGTATCTGGAACAGTCCTGGTTTTTCCACTGAATTCCAGGCAAGATGTGGTGTGCATCCCACCCCCGGAGTCACAAAAACCAGTCAACCACATAGCACTCAACAGGCAGGAAACACAACTAGTTGTAGCATATGATAACTTAGTCCTTGTGCTGGATGTGAACCCTGGAGAGCCATGCCCAGTGACTGACAAGCCCATTTACACCTTTTATACCCAGCTCCCTGCTGTTATTTCCAGCGTGGCTGTCCTTACAGACGGTCAGGTCCTCTATGGCATGTCCAGTGGGGACTTATTCCTTTATGACTGTCCACGTTCCCGAGTATTTCCTTTGGAAGCCCACAGAAGCAAAATCACTTGTTTAGAAAATAGTCATGGAGAACAGTGGGCACTGAGTGGCTCTGAGGATTCTCTGCTGTGTCTGTGGGACTTGGAGCTCTGCCAGTGGAAACATGAGATATGCTATTATAAGGTACTGCACCAGCAGAGCTTGGGAACACAACATTATTAGTCATTTATTCCAATGAGCCGGTATAGAAATAACTAGTCCAGTTTTCAAATAGCAGGCTTTCCAGACACTAGCAGCTAGGTGCCTCCTTTTGGCATCTTAGGCCTGAACTGCACGCTTGTTTCCAGGTGTAGCTACCTCATTAAAGAGTATGCTTTCTAGAGAGCCCACCAATAAACTAGTGCTGTTAAATTTTTTCTAGCCCCAAAACTCACATCTTCAGAGATGCTTGGTTAGAACTTATCCACCACATTCACTTAGTTGCTTGTTTGCGTCCTGTTCTTGGTTATGTACATTGTTTAGCTGAGGTCAAGTAAAAGCAGCATAAAGGATTAACAGGCTCAGCCCTGTGACGTCCCATAAAAGGGGAAATGATGGAAGAGCCTGAGCTATTTTTCAGCTTTTCACCTGTTCCTGACAGGCCTCAGCCTTTACCCAATGATAGGCTGCACAGTTTGCACTCGCTCCTTTTGGTAGCCTTCTGAACTTTTACAGGACACTTTTGAAGAGCTTTAGAAGTTTAAAAGCAAAATGGCAGGCTTGTTGCATGTTCAGTCTCACTTAGAACCACTCTGGAAACACTGGTTAAGTTAAAATGTATGCCCACTCTCAACCATCTAGGTCGTCTTAATCTTCATGTGCATTTACCAGTACATTAGGGTCTAATTCAAACCATTATCCATTTTTAGCATTCATCCTTCTTGAAAGGTATTGAATGTGCTTGCTTCTCAAAAGATGATAAATACCTGTATACTGGATTACTGGATCAGTCCATTGCAGTTTGGGATGTTTCAAATGGTAAGTAAATCTGTATCACCAGCTAAAATGAGAGGGTACACCTTACTGCACCATTTTCCAACTTTTTGAGCTGAGCCCCCAATTTTGTTTGTACTGTCCTCCTCACCCCAGAGGGGCAGTGCAGCCAGGCACAAGGCATCCTTTGTCCTAGCAGCTGCTGTGGCTCTGCTCGGCTCAGCTCCTACACCTCCTGCCTTGGCCCTGCTGTGGCTCTAGGCTGCGTGCCCACTGAACTGGGCTCCCAGAGGTGCAGCAACCCCCTGGCAGAGCCTGCCCACCCCCACACCCCCCATGCAGCTGCAGAGACACCAGCTCCTTGCAGACTTCTTTTCCGTGCCCCCCTGTGCTGCACCCCCACCTCCAATGTTCCTTCATGTCCCCCCAGGGGGAAGCACCTCACAATTTGAAAACCTCTGCTTTATTAAACAGGTATGTAAGCTCCTTTATGTGGTACAAAGGAAAACAAAGTTTACACTCAGTTTAAATGAGAAACTAACTTGGTTACACATTAGCACAAGGAATTTGGGATCTCTCTCCCAGCCAAAAAACAGATTTTTGACAGAGAGGTAAAGTCTCTGTAAGTTGCAGCTACATAGGGATGGGCACTGACCCCTACCTCTGCCTCCCTTGAATCCATGAGAACATCCCACAAGTGCCTAACAGTACACTCTGACTTCTGTGACATTGCAAAGAGAAGTACCATCCCCAGTGTCAAAAAGGGACTCTAGGGAACAGCCTCATTACATTGACTAGCCCAGGGGCAGGCAGTTATTTCAGTCAGAGGGATACTTACTGAGTTTTGGCAAGCCATTGAGGGCCACATGTCAGGCAGCCTGGGACAGATAAATATTAATTTTCTAAATTTTTTAGGGGCCCTGCGGGCAGGATAGAATGGCCTGGCAGGCCACATTTTGCCCACCCCTGGACTAGCCAGTGACGCTAGTGTCTGTAGTTTCTGCCATAGATGTAGTACTTTCTACAGCAGGGAAGCTGCTCGAGGGCTTGTCAGGGTCCATGTGTAAGGTACCTTAAAAATCTGTATTTAGACTCATCCTAAAAGCTTAGGCCCACATAAGTGCAAGAACATCATATCTGGCATAAG